TGTATGAATCATATGGTGAAAAACTGACTGAAATATAAATCTGTTCTTTTTTTCTTATAAAAGGCTAAATAAAACAAAAATATTGGTGGTAAACTTTGACTGTGTAACTTTACAAACGGCACCCCATAGTATGAGCCTAATATCAAGTAAATGTTAATGGCAATTCATACTTGTGTGAATATATCACATTTTACTTGATAACTATACTGCACCAATAGGTATATATACTAAAAATGTTACACATGGCACGTTTAGTGCATGAAATGTTCAAAAATGTGTGGAGTATCATTTATATGAACCAAAGGGATATAGTTTTATTTTTTTAAAACCATTGCATCTGTATGGCATTTCAAATTACTCAAGTGTGTGAACTTGGAATCAATATAATATTCACACGCTTATGAAGATCATCTGTAGTAAACATCAGCAGGAAGCAAAGATCATTGCTAACTTACCCTCTAGCTGGGTTTACAGCGATGGCATATGGCTCTCCCGCTATGGCAGTAATCAAGCGGGTGCAATTTGGTCCCTTAAGTTGGCCCACATTTATGGAATATCGTAATTTAGTCCAGTGGGCTGTGTAATAGCTGAACCAGTGCATCCGAGAGTGATCAGTCCAATAAATGTTCCCCGTGATCCAGTCAGCAGAAATATCTCTGGGGCGACGGAAGTCTGAACACTGCATTGTACATCAGGCACAAGTGTCAGGCTCTCTGTTCAACATTTAATCAAATACTTACAGCAATCTCTTAAACTAAAGACATAACAGTGAAAATCAATCAAATTTCGCTTTATTTTAAATCGACAGACAACAAAAGGCATGCCGTCATTTAATAGTAGTGTAAAGAGATACTTACGATGTTTCTGATATTTGATTTAGTTTGGCCTTTTTCAAGAGAGTCTTTGTAAAAAATTCCGCCAGGGTTGAATTGAGTAGCCCAAATAAACTTTTGCTGATGGAACAGAACGTCCATCCCGATGATGCGAGCGTTGTCCTCAACGTGAGTGAGCAGTTTGTGGCCATGGCTCTGGTTATATGGATACACAAAGCTTCGGATTTCAGTGTCATTGGCGATGTAGAGCACTCGATCTTCCCCTCCTGCAAGGACGATCAATCAAAAGTTTAAAAAGGAAAGGCAAAAAGAAAAAGAAAACCAATGACATCCTACTTTGGATTGCAGTTTGAACACAATATATAAAAACACATTATAACATTACGCATATTTGTTTAGGTAGTAAATTAGCACACATGCAGAAAGTAAAACTGGATGTTTAATACTGAGCTTTAGAATCACACCTTTTGCMATACAGTTGCCGTTGACCTCCTTATAATTCCGATCACATGAGCATTTAAAAGATCCTTTTGTGTTTGTGCAGTAATGAGGACATGCATCAAACTGTAGACACTCATTTATCTCTGGAAAAACAAAACAAAACAAACAAAAAAACACAAAACAGGTGACTTTTTTATGATCGTGCTGAGAGGACAGCAATTTGAAAGAACCTACATTTTTCATTGTCAATGAAAAAGTTTACACGCTAAGACAGGACTGACAATTACATTTCAATATATATTTCTTTGCTCATTAAACATAATGTGGAAAACCGTTTTCATTTGTTGCCATGAAACTCGACGAGCTGTGACACATTTATTACAGCTGAAACATTCTTAGTGTCAGTTTTCATTAGAGTTTTACCCAGTCTGCTTCCAGTAGATGTATTCAGTTCCAGTTTCTTTTTTTGTTGCTGTTGTTGTTTTTCTTTCTTTCTTTCTTTCTTTCTTTCTTTCTTTCTTTCTTTCTTTCTTTCTTTCTTTCTTTCTTTCTTTCT